GATACAGCTCCGACTTTATAATCCGGCTCTTAATTGTATGGTCTGTCAATTCGGGGCTCTTAGCCAGGTGAGTGTCCTACTTACCTGTGTTGAGGCTAGAACTGATACATTCTTAGTGCCCTATCCGTCGCTTCTATCATTACCGTACGTTGATGATATTGACATTATGGTTCTTTCGAATAGTAATTTTGTCCCTCAACAGTACGTTATACGACCCAAGTCGTTCTCATGCGATACTGTTGCGTCTGTGCTGTCGAAAGGTGAAAGTCGTCACCCTGAACCTCTCTTAATCAAACTAACAACATTCAACACAGTGATGTTTAACTCTCTCCTAGGACTTCTGAACACTCGAGAATACCGGAAACGAATTATTTCCGGCCGGGCCGGAGAACTTAGAGTGTCCTTAGCACCCACTGCGCCGGCCTCGGTTAGTATTGGGCCCCTTCCAATTTTGAGGACAAGCACCGTTGCGTCAATCTGGTCGCAGAGCTCGGCATGTCATTCTGAAATGGTGAGTGGGCTGTGCTCCGACTGCCTTCACGGAGTGGAACTGAGGTCTTTTGACATAGAACTTCGAGGTACCGGTCATTACTGAAGACAGGCCAAAAGAGTACAGCCTTGTCTAGACACGACAAGCGGACTCCACAGACCAATTCTTTATCTATAACTCCATTCTTTTCACTATCACTATGTGTACCTTTTCCTAGTAGGTACCCTCCACGAGGGCCAATGCATAAGAACGATATAGTGGGCATTATAGAAACCTACAAACTGGTATATGATTCTGCATCAAAAAAGCGACGTGGGATAACACACCGGCGGGCACTACATGCTGATAGACATATCCAAGGACAGGTCCTGCTGCTGTCAGACCGGCATTTCTGCAAATAACACTATTTCACTAGTTGCACAGCCTTGCAAGCTGCTGTCGACAGATGTGCGTAACCTTCTAGCTTTGTTGTTTTCCCAACTTCCTCATCTAATCAGCGGCTTCTGTGAAGGTTCAAAGTGTTGTCAGGTGGGAAACCACTTTGACTGGCAGGAGTCGTCAATAGCTATGCGGTGCGATGCGAGACGTCTTCCGAAAGCTGGGAGAAAGGTGTGCCTGTCGGTGTTAGCCAACGCTCCGAATAGCATGCGGTGTTCTATCCCAGTCATATCTCCGTGACGTTAACTCATTAAGCCTTTAGAGGAGAAGGTTTCATAAATCTTCTCCATAAGAAGTGAAGAACTGGGAATCATGGAAGATAATCGTTACCATTTGTATGCAGAACACTCTTCACGAAGGTTCAAACGCGCTTACAGAATGAGACAGCGGTGGTGAACGATGCAACTTAACCAGACACCGCGTATCTATATCATGTGTCGCTAGTCATAGCTGGGATTTACGTGTATCAATACCAACACGGTGAGTAATATGCACAGGAGTTGTGGTATAAACAGCCACCCCTCTCGTGTACACGATAGCCTGACAGACTAGCCATCTTTCCCTTCCCTCCTCCAGCCGGTCCCATCACATCTCCTCACAGAAGTATGTCAACCCAGCTAACAAACACAACGGACGGTTCAATCCCTGATGCGGCCATGCGCGCATTTATCGTTAATAACGTTCTAGGGCCTGAATACTTCGGTGGGCATAATTGTTCTTTCTGTGTATACACACTTGCTGACCACTCTTCGTCTTGAAGCCGTCATTATATTTGTTTTGTATGTTATTACCATACTCAATCCCCACGGCATCTCGTCACATACTGATCACTGGCCCTCTCTACTTATCCTAGACTGTACGGCATGTCAACTGTTCAAGCGATTCTCTACTTTCAACGCTCTCAGGAGGACCATTGGGTTCGGAAGTGCACGGTAAGATGGCAGTACTACGCGGTATCATCGACATCTATACTTATTCATGATCTCCGTAGATTGTGGCAGCGTGGTTGGTGGCCAAAAACCTTCTTCCTTTGACGATGCTAGAGTTCTTCCTAGGCTCCTCAACACGGCTTTGGTTAGTATCATCATCTATTCAGGATTCTGTTCCCTTGTCAGCAGCGCTTTTGGTATCCCATCTACCATCACGAGTGCTAAGTCGTGGTGAGTGCTAGTTCAAATTGGGTCGTATAAACACAGCAAGTAATCTTGTTTTCTCAGGACTCTAGCGGTATGTAGCATTTTGAAGTCGAGCTCAAGATATTCCAAAGCTTACCTACGTTCCTCTCGCTCATAAGATGTGGTACCTGCTCGCAGTAAGTTCCTTTTACGATGTAATAATCGTAGTGTCGAAGACAGCAAATGATACAGCTACTTAGGGAATCAGTGACTTGATGGTTTATAGGTGCGATTCTGTTGTGCAATTGGGTGATTTCTCGACCTAACACGGGAGCTTCGATGAAGTGTCATGATTCACATAGTATGGACGAGTAAGTAATTCTTTTTAATAAGCCTGATGCTTTGCTCATCTATATATTGCACAGTGGCCGGCAAAAAGATATGGCTTCTATGCGCTTTGGTACGTCAGCATAAACGTGCCGAACGATTGCCTTGCTGAGCACGAAGTAGGTCACACCCTCTGTACCTGGATTTGGTCAGTAACATTGGCATTAATTGCGTTGCTATATTTGATTAATCCGCCCTTATCCATAGCCGGAATTCTTGGTGTGCTTGCCTACCGCTCATTCAGATACATATTTAATACTGATTGTTTATTATCTTAGCTTATACTTATATCAGGTATGTTTATTTAACCACGTCCAGAGATGATGGTGCTTACTTGTAATTGAAGCCTTAACGACCCATCAGCCACTTCAAAAAAGAGTAACGCGGTAAGTCTCATCTCATTTCATCTCACAATACACATCAGAGTACGATCACGAATCTAACCCACCTGTTTTATATGCTACTCAGTGGACATGGTACCTTCCCTACATTGCACATGCTATAATAGACGTTGTTCTCTGTGTGGCGTTGACAACGAAGCTCATTAAGATGCACACTGGATTCAAAAAGTAAGTTTCTTAACTCGCATGCGTTTAAACAATGTACGACTGATAAACACATTCACCCTCTCGATCGTGTAGCTCCAACTTTGTGATAAGGATACTAGTGATGTGGTCCGTGAACTCTGGATTTCTCGCTAGGTGAGATAATGCTATGTCGAGCGTGAATACACGTATTGATTATGTGAACCCGATAGCACCCTGATAATTACCTCTATCATTCTTGTGAGTAACTAACTATTGTCAAGACTACTGGCCTTACGGGAACTGCAGTACGCTGTCGATCCCCAATCTTCCGTATGCAAAACTGTTGCATCGAGCCTGTCGCAAGGTAAGACTTCCTGTCAGTAGAGATAACAAGATATCCCAGCTCACACTTATTGTTTAGTGGTGCTCAACTCTCTTCTGGCACTACTCAATACAAGAGACTACCGGAAGAGGATTCTGAATGAACGAAACCAAGAATTGAAACTCTCCATAACCCCTCTTCCGCTACCTTCTGCATCAATTCACTTTACGACGCTTCCGAACACAGCAGGTCCTAGTAGTACCGGCACTAGTACTTCGATACCCGTACAGTATGGTAACAGTATTGTGAGTGATTCAACAACGGGTTACATGAATAAATGACATTCATGCTTCTGTAGCAGGAAGTCCGTTTTGTTTCTGAAGACGACATGATAAAGACAGCCTAGCGGATTCAGGGGTAAAGGAGGGGATGCGATGTGAAGGGAGTTTCGGGTCATTATTCATTCTGCGCGACGGTCGAACCTCACCCCTTCTCTTCGAACTCTTGGTTGTACTCTTACTCAACACCATCTGGTCAGCAGATTCCGCATCCCAAGGCAGGATAATTAAATCAGATTAATTTTATTTGGTTATATAACTCAACACTCCAGTCTCTCATTGAGTGGTGAATTCGTGATCCTTGTTGGCATCCTCGAGGTACATACTGCGAAAACTTGAAGTTGATCACTAGCTAATAACAATATTATATTGCAGAGCTGTTGACATCACGATTGCCACGTTCTATTCGCGCCACGATTACACTGTTTGGTACGTCAGAACTGACATAATGTAGCTGATCTTGGGCAAACTTGTGGGCTGCAGCGCATAGAAATTTAGAGTCATCATGGCTGCTCCAAAGTAAGTACGCTATCTAGACTTGCCGCGGGCGCTTTCTTTAGAGAGGCGGAGGAGCTGCCAAAAGCAGAAGTCGTTGTAGTTGCTAGCCGGGCGGAGTGACGTGAACAGTGAGCTGAGTAGCCTAATTGTCAGAGGGGCTCGAACTGAGCTCGCCACAATATATATATGTGAGTATAAAATTACTGGATTTTCTACTGTACATTTCTACAAGTTAACGCAACCCATCTACAGTATCCCATCATGGTCGCAACCGCTCGTGAACAACCTATCGTCGACAACGACAATATGAACTACAATCCGTCGGCCAATGCTGACTACGACCAAGCTGCCTTCGATGATTCGAAAGACTTCGAGTCCACTCAGACCGTTGGTGCTCGTAATGCAGACAATCAGCCCACAAGCACAAACTTCACGCAAGAAGATCGCGAGACTGAGCGGTCTGAAATGACAGGCCAAATTCCTCGATGTAATTCTTACTGCCACTGGTCACTGAGAGAAAAAACACTGAAGCAAATCATTTTGCAGCTGAGGTCAATGACCTGTTGAAATCTGCAACACAAGAGGAGAAGGGAATGTCCGGCCGCACGCGCGGCAAGAAGAATGATGCTTGGAAGCAAGAGAAGGAGTTGGACAAGGCGTATACAGATACTGGAATTATTGGCTCAGATGAAATCAGCAAGGACGAGGGCTATTAAAGACCCCGCACTGGAAGGTGCAGATTGTTTTAATGTATCATTTGGTTGACTCCCTTTCAAGTATTGCGTCTTAATGACAATTATAATTTTCATTCCCGATCGTGGTATACTATTAGCATGTTGAGAGAGCCGGATAATTAGTTAGCTAGTTTGAGTGAATATAAAAAAGCGACCAACCCGAGAGTCGAACTCGGAATCTTCAGCTAACAGTGCAATACCGGAAACTGACGCCTTAACCATTAGGCCAGCCGGCCATGCCTTTATGGGTTTATTTGCATTACCCATCGAGCGGAAGGTCAGCCTCAACAGTGGTTGGTTATTATGCTCCTTTAGCACTCATTCTTTGGATACCACCGTCATCACCTACTACGATACCATGTCGTTCTTCGGCGCAGCATCGTCGTCGGGTGCTGCTTCAACGACGGCAGCGACAGACAAGGATATTGAAGTCGGAAATCCTCCTGGGGACTCGATATCGTCGCTGGCGTTCTCTCCACAGGCCGACTACCTGAGTGTAGGTAGCTGGGACAACAATGTACGTATCAATACAGTTATTCACGCGACTTATCGATATTTTAAGAGACTGTTACACATATATTGACTGTTTATCGATAGGTGTACATCTACGAGGTCGGTGCAAATGGGCAAACTCAACCAAAAGCCATGTACTCTCATCAAGGGCCGGTCTTGAGCGTGGCGTGGAACAAGGTGTGTCATGGTTGCTCAAGACTCAAATGTAATTCTATTGAAGCGTCTGTGATTCTCTAAGGATGGGACGAAAATACTTTCCGGAGGTGCTGACAACGCTGGCCGCATGTACGACGTTACTACTGGGCAAGCCCAACAAGTCGCCCAACATGACGCGCCCATCAAGGTAGTGAAGTGGCTGGAGACTCCTCAGGGTGGAATACTTGCTACAGGCAGCTGGGATAAGACCATCAAGGTACGTCGAGCTCAATGCGTTTTGCGCCCGTCCGCCACTAATTGTCTCTGGGTCGTGTAGTATTGGGATCTACGGAGTTCAACACCGGTGTCAACCGTTCAACTACCAGAACGCTGCTACACTATGGACGTAACATATCCCCTTATGGTGGTTGGCACAGCGGAGCGCCACATTCAGATTTTTAACTTGACCAATCCTACTCAGGTCTTCAAGGTGTGTGCTACTCCGACTAAAACTGTATCTCGCTAAATACTTCTCATTCCCTTGACATCGTCGATTCTTATATCTGACGCGCTTAGAGCATTACATCACCTTTGAAATGGCAAACCCGTGTTGTATCATGCTTCCCCTCCGCAAATGGTTTCGCAGTAGGCAGTGTTGAAGGGCGGGTTGCTATTCAGTGAGCGTTTCACGTGTCTTTTACCCTCCTGCTCTATACTCATTGTTTGATTATTATAAATTAGATATGTGGAGGAGAAAGACTCGTCTTCCAACTTCTCATTTAAGTGTCATCGACGAGACCAGTCCCCAACATCAAAGGATCAATCACTGGTTTACGCTGTTAACGATATTACCTTCCACCCTGTGCACGGCACGTTCAGCACGTGTGGTATGTTCGATATCTGTTTCTGAATTCCAATCGAATTCATTCTGACCTCATACTTGTGCAGGCTCCGACGGGACCGTCAACTTCTGGGATAAAGACGCACGCACCCGTCTGAAGAGTACGTTTTTTTTCCTATCTCACCTGTAAAAATTCTTATTCACGAGATCGAACTCTTGTCAGCCTTCGACCCCTCCCCCGGCCCCGTCTCCGCCACATGCTTCAATCGAACCGGTACCATCTTTGCCTACGCTGTCTCCTATGACTGGTCCAAGGGTCACTCTGGCATGACACCCGGACATCCCAACAAGATCATGCTGCATGCATGCAAAGACGATGAGGTCAAGAGGAAGCCACCGAAACGGTAAAGGCGTTATTTTGTGCTAAGTGAGTGTCGAGATGATTGAGAAGGAAGTGGTCGATTGGAGTGGGTGAACTGCTCTGAGAGATGTGATACGTGAATACATATACTTGCGTAGTATGAGGATGACAGTGATTCTGTGCTTGTTGATAGCTTTATATGCCAATTTCATTCCTTGCTACTGTAACAGTGCTTCCATGAACTATCAGTACAAGACGTTTCGGTTATGTTGGCAGAACGTCGTCGTCGTTGAAACGGAAGCATTACTATCACTCGTTCTCTTCATATCCCGCTGAAGTCGAAGACAACTGGAAGGTTGTTCCAAGGTTCATCGACCCAACGCCCAACAACGATAAAAATATATAAATCCCATAGAATATTATAAAGTAATAAGAAAGTAAAGTATAAACAACAGACAAAGAGAGGGGTATATATTTTTAAAAAATTGGAGACTAATCCACAAACAAGAAAGAACCGACGTTGAGCGTGTAGGTATTCATTGGGGAAGAGGATCTTGCCGGAACCAGGAAAGTCTATGCGAGGTGCAGATAAGATTGTCCTCCAAGGGCCGACAACTGTGGGCCGAGCGTGCGCCGCCCCACTTCTTGCTCGTTCATCTGATGTAAGTTGAGAAGATGGAAAAATATACACCTCGTAGGGTGCGTAGATTAGGATAGTACAGCAGATGTGTTTTTAGCTTGAGAGTCGTAGATTTCGTAAGAAAAAACTTTGCTTTCAAGTGGTCACTGCGAGGCCGAACTTAGGGGCGTGTGAGCTTAATTTACTGCTCTTTGCCCATAGCTTCCTTGCGCTTCTTTTCTTCTTTCTTGTTTACTTCGATCATGGGGTCCAGTTCAGATGCGGGCTGACGATAAGAGTTCCCCCAGCGGTCTGCCAGTGTGAAGTACTAGAAAGTGGTAAGTGATCGGTGTATGAGCAGCAATGTACATGTATAGAACGCTGGGGAGGTATGACATACCTGGCCGTAATTTACTGTGAAGTATAGATGATGAAGTGTATGATGTGCGGGACCGTTAATGACCTTCTCCAGCGCGTGACCAGTGATCATGTCAGAGTCGTGGATCTATTGCGACCGAGTTGTGTGAGTTTAGAGATATATGAGGGAAACTGCGCGGATCTGCTCTGCGAACTTACGAAGATACTCCAGAAGTTGACCGCTACGAACAAGCCGAGATAGAGCTTCTGGTGCAGTGGGAAGAGGTAGATAAATAGGTGGTAAGGGATCGACTGCAGGTATCCATCGAGTGGGTGGAATGCGTGAGATGCGAAGGGAGTGGGAACTATCGGACGAACATGTCAGTAAACATGGCTAGGTACAGACACGTGCAGAAAAGAAGCGATAAGAGGACTGTATGAAGAAGCAGAGCAAATTTTAAATGCGTGACGTACTCAGCCATTTGTGGTGAGGCTTGTGCAACCACTTGTAGCAGATGGGATGATGCTCCGAGCGGTGAATCCAGTAAATGCAGTAATCCGTGAATACCAGAAACCTGCGTTTTAGGATTAACAACAAAGACAAGATACATGAATGATGTAACACGTACCAGAGTATTGAGAAAAATAGGTATCCCCATCCGTATTCACCGACGTCCGTATACAACTTTGACCATCCACGACATTCACCCAAGAACCAAGGTATAGTATAGAGGGTCATGACAGGGAATGCATTCAGGCTGGACTGAATCTCGAGTTTCACTTGATTTTTTAGGAACCGTGGGTGCTTCATCATTTCATGATTGAAAATATACCGGTATGATAGACCAGCGAAAGCAAAGTATAGCACGTGGATGCCGATGAGGGTAAGCACAAAGAGAGAGATTGCCTGGCGGGGCAAATAATCTCTTGGCCATGCTGAGGCAAGGGGAGCAGAGGTAACCGCAGGCTTGAAGAATTCTGCTGGCAGCGGTGGATGCGGCAGATATGAGACGAGCTGGGACCACGCCGATATTACAGGCTTGTCAGTAGAAAGCACAGGGTAGGATGCGTTGAGTGAAGATGCAGCGTTGAACAGGGTCGAGTTGACTGAACCTGCAAATGCCGACACTGGGAGGAGGCGAGCGTAGAGGTCGTCAAGGAGGTAGATGTCCGCGAGCTCAAGGACGAGGTCCATGATGGGTGGTGTACAGGCGACGATAACCTCGGGAAGTCAAGGGCTTTGTCGCTGTATTCGACGACGAGAACAACGAGCGTCGAACGTTGGACGGCGGGGGTACGAGGAATTGATGCGAGCCATTTCGGAAATGTCTTTTATTCCAAGTGGCTTGAGATTGTCAGACCACTCGTCCGAATTTTTGTTACCAATTTCTGCTGACTAATTACTGATGGAGCGCCTAGAGTAGCCTTTTATGGTGAAGATTAGGTAAGCATCCACTGGGTCCGTTGGTCGCGACCTCCAGCCAGCGCATCTCGTACGTCCTCGGCGCACACTCGAGAACGTATTCAGTCAGAAATAGAAATAATAATGGTACGTTGTACGATGAACAAGATTAATATACTGTGTACAATGGGGCTCGGTTTCTTTGCTCTAGTCTCCTCACAGGAGTCCAGCGAGGAGCCCAGCCTCAGGGGGCAGTATTAATAGCTCCTGGGCAGTCCCGGACATTGGCGATTGTGGCCTCCATGTTGCCCCTGTTGTACAGTAGAGCACATCTCACAATATTGTAGAATTCGATCTTTTTATTAGACTTCATTTCTGCTCGCCGAAATGAATATTTCGAGTCTATGTCACCGGAGATAACTTAGCATACCACTATGCACCCATCTTTGTGCACTGAGACCATTAATGTTACGATGACCCATCACAAATAGCAGTGGACGCGCCAAGAGTGACGATGCTCTGAGGAGGCCTTTAGAAAAATATTCTAAGCTAGGCAGATAGAGGGTCAATGTAGGCGAAGAGGGCCCTGCGCAGGGTTGACAAAGTTGACGTTGTGCTTAGTGCCCCTGCTTATTTATGCATGGCTTCTTTTGCACGGCTTACATCTGGACCGTCGACAGACCACTTCACGCCAACATGCCTCAACAAGGCAGGTTGTAAGTATTGCGGTCTGGCACCGGGAAATGCCTTTCGACTTGGTCTAGAGTCGCACTCATACTATTACTGACTAGTAAAGAGTGAGAGGGACGCGTATCTGATTACTTATATGAATAGAATGAGAGCAAGAACGATAATATTACTTGTAGCTATGAGTAGTGTAGCATTACCCAACCAAATCCTTCAAACAGCAAGTATGTTCAATGAAGAGAAACCACATCTCGTCTCCAAACTCGACCGTGTCAAATGACGATAGAAAGCCCCAGCTTCATTGTTGCCTACAGTCAGGCT